AAAAAAAAAAAAAAAAAAAAAGAAAGGAATCGAATCACGTTTCATCTTATACTGCTACTTGTTAATATTTATTTCTTATTTGAACATTTACGTTTTACATGATTCAATGAATTTAATGAAAAAACAAGTACCGTGTAGCGGTACCTATCAAATGGTATGATTGGTCGATCGAATTTTTCTTCTACATTATTTCAGTTTCGACGAAAATTATGATACAGAAGTCTAGTTAGAATTTCGCGAGTATCTACATACATAGCGAGCGCTTGATAACTAGAACCAACAGCCTCGGTGGAAGCCTCCAGTGATTCGTATTTGTACCAAGAACAATGTTTATCGAGTAAAAACGACTATCGATACTCATTTATGTACATATACATATACGATCGATATATGTATATTATATATGATTATATATATATATAAAGTACTACAACACGGCCCATGTATTTGTATAGGATATCATATATGTGTATATAATATAACTATACATAGTACGTTAGATATAGTATTATCCAAAGACTGAGAGTATCGTTTCGACGCTCTTGAACTGCATTAAATAATAACGGATGGTGGTTGGAAACTGAGTATCCATGAGATCGGTGGATATTCATCAGTGGAAAATAGAAATCCTCTTGTGAAATAGCAAACAGGAAAGATTGTATAGTATATCTGAATCACATGTTTCCGAGTTATCCGTGAAAACTGTTTTTATCAAGGAAACCTGCTGATTTAAAGGAGTCGGAAAATAAAACTAGATTAGTTGCTAGTGTTTTCAATCAGTTTCTGTAATTACGTTCTATGCAAATATGAATTTGCATAAAAACCCACGGTTTAATTATAAAAACATTGTACGATACATTTCGTAAGGAAAACTGTTAATGTTATTAACACAGCAATAGTGATCAAAAATCGATTTGATGGATCTAATTTTTCAAGGTGTCAAATGAAAATAAAAATGTTTAAAGAACCCTTTAAATCAGTATCATCTCTTGAACTGCTGTTTAATAATTGGCCAATGACAAGTATGAAATCAAATGTGACAGGAAAAGAAAATTCTTCGTTTCCATTGGAAGCTTCTACGTATTCTTCACTATCGAAGGCGGACTTGATAAATTTCAAATATATACATATATAACTACGTTAAAGTTTTGTAACGAGGTTTTTATTGGGAAAATTGATAAATCTGAAATTACCAAAAAAAAAAGAGCCATTAACTTTACTATATAGTCTATAAATGTAATACGAGTCGAGTGTAAATTGGAACTTATAGACTTTAAATAAGTAATACATTAAGATAGAGATTTTATTAAAATGTATGAGGAAAAAAGTGTGAAGCTTATAGCGTTTAGAATTAAATCACATTTAAATATGAAGATTATAGATGTACAATATGTTGGGATTGAATGCGTAATGGTATAATGTTGGTATATATATATTGGTACAATGATTGCGCGTTACTGCATAAATAGAAAAGTAATTTCTTCATTTTCAGTTCACGTGCACGTTACGGAATATATTTAAAAAATTAAAACCAGTACATTGAAAATTAACAAACTGGCTCGAGTTTCTCACGCTTTAAATGTTTATCCGTTTAATATGATTGAACATCGTCGCAAAGGATTTGTAAAACTTTATTTACTTAAGAATAGAAAAATATCGGTGAAATTTTATTTACTTGTAAAAACGTGCAAAGTGTTTCGTAGGTAAAGGAATTATTTCCTTTCGTTAATATTAAAAAGCGCATTTAAAATGTCATTGAACAATACTTGACTTCAATTATTTATTACACTTTTGACGTTGCACAAAGACCAAAGATTTATGGTAATTTTAAACCAAGTATTTCTTAATAGAAGCCGCGAGATTTCTTTTGTTCCGTTATTTCAAACTGGAAAACCTTGCATAAATAAAGCGGAAATCACGCTTTGTATTCTTATCGGCTTTTATTTTGAATGTATAATGGAATAAGATGAAATTTATCGTTAGAAGTAACTGTGAACCAAACGATCGAATTCCGCATTCACTAGTTAAAGTATCATTAATTTCTTTGTCACTTAATTTAATTTAATTTGTATCATACAACGATCGATGATTTTACGTAGAAATTCATAAAGGAAACAATCATTGTTGTCTTTTTAATAATAGTAGCATTAAAATCATGGCAGTCGACGTGTCAAGCGATCGAAATAAAAGTTTATGTCTTTTTCGTATAAAAATTTCGGCTTGACAGTTTCATATACAATATTCACTGCCTTCTCAAACAATGGTTGCATTTATATCGTCGATTGTTTCGCGTTCGATACACCAGCTGGTGAACGTAATCCACTCCATTTGAATATCTCGAAAGAAACAAAACTGATTATGCGATTTTAATGCATGACGTAAGAAGAGATCGCGAGAGGATAATGGAAATGTCACGGACAGTGTAATATTCTGCTTTGTGGTTCTTCCCACATCCATTTTTCAGCGATCTTTTTATTATATCTGACCACGTGAAACATATTTGAGAACACGGATGGTTTTTCTTAATACTGTTATCATTTATTCGAAAATTGTCACAAATTAAATTATTTCAAGAAATTTCAAGGATTCGTGACGATTATGTAATGTATTTTTTAATATATTTCATGTCACTTGAAAATAAAGAATACTATTTGACAACGTTAGTTAATTCTTTGAGTGCTTAAAATTACTAAGTTTAAGAATTTACGTGTAACAAATTAAGAATGCATTAAATTTATATTTTATTCAATATATTGTAATATATTATCTTCTTTCTAATAAGCAAAGTAATTGTTTTATTACTAATTAATTATTTTATAAGATTGTCTGTACGAAACGCCCTAGTACGGAGTAAACACTCAAAGGGTTAAAATACTTAATTCAATTCAATTTAAAATTTTATTTTCTATTTTTAATTGTGACGTAAAGTTTTATCATATAATAGATACTTAAATCCTTTCCGTGTTTAATTAAATTGCAAATATTACAAGTACTTAATATGTTTCACTGCTCAATTCCACAATACTTAATACTCAAAACTCGAATTACAGAAGTAATACAAGTAGCAGAGTTTAACAGAGGAATATCCAACAAAATAGATCATGTCCTCGTTCAATTGTAGAAAACCATTATTAGAAAAGTCAATTATACCATCTTTGCTGTTTCGTTTTCGCATTTTAGTAACTGTATTAATTCCTCAGAATGTAACTCGAAACCACTTGTTTCTGACAAAAAAAAAAATTAACTTGCCATACTTTCAAAAATTTCAAAATTAATCCCGCAATTTATTCTTCATAAGAATTACAGAACAAGAATGCGGTGACGTAAATAAATTAGCTATCCTAATTTTCCTTGGTTTGATATTCGTAAATGAAACCTAGCAAGTGCGACATTAAACTATACATAATATGAACAATTATGCGCAGAGTATAACATACTTTTCTATCATCCGCATTGTAGATACCATTATGTCATCAATGTCGAATGATTAGTGTGACGAATGATACGAATGCGAGACTTGAGGAATGCTTGTAAGTAGACATGTAAGTCTAAATGGAAATTAAGTTCGACGAGTATAGACGAAAAGAAATGTAATACGTTATACACAGTGTACAGATAGGCTGCATTTTCCCTGCTAACTAATGGCGTGACTGTACATGGTTTTATCATACGACAAGAACGAAACAGATATGAAGATAAGAATGATTCACACACATTAAAGAAGAACGTTAATTGATTGATTTTTTTTTTTTTTTTTTCATTTTACAATAAATTTCACTTGATTTCAATTTCGAGCGCAATATTTGTTGTAAATTGAAACGGGCAACTTTGTTGTTACATTACAAAACGAAATGAAATCATCACGGTGAAATGATATGTTTTATTGTTGCTTTTGCAATATGGTTACGCCATACATCGTGCTTTCGGCACGCAATCTAGTCTAATAAGCACTGTCGAGACCAGAAGATTGTCCACTGTCCGTGTACACATGAAAATACAAATTTATCACATATTATTGTGAATTTATTTCACTCCCGACAATTTCATTCTCAATGTTTGAATAATTTGAATTTTACGTTCTTAACGTCTTATTAAATAATTAATTGTAAATCATTCGCTCAACCGTAAATTTAATTTAATTTAAAAATATTTATGTACAGCCTGATGTTAATCTCATTTAATAATATCATGCCTAATTGCTAATTGTTTGTATTTCTGTGTTTTATTATTATATTTCATTCATTTACTAATTCATTTACTTGAAAATAGAAAAATCACGAAAACAACCGCAAAGAACGTTTTAATAATGCCAGTAACTATACTTCAAATATTCGCGACGATTATAAATCTCAGTACTAAAATGTTAATCAAACATTTATCGTAAATGTCTTTAGTTCAGATTTAAATGAAACAAATTTTTGCAATTTACAATCATTTTCTTTAAGGAACTATAATAATTCATAATCAAAAATATTTCTAACAATAATAATGCACAATTTGCAGAGCATGATAACGAACATATGTGATTATTAATTCAATACATTACTAATTTAAATGAAATCAATGAATTATGTGCAATTCTAATTCAAATCGAAATTAACATTCGCAATTCTAATTTGAAACGCGAAATTTCTTCTATTTCTCAACTGTATGTTGATCACTAACAACATTAATAAAGAGACACTGATTTGCCCAAAATAAAAGTAAGCCCAATAATATTTCTCCTATAATATTTCTCCAATAAGTATTTCTCCTGCTAGCACATCTTATCACTTAACAATATATAAATTTTTTTAAGTAAAACTTAAACATTCTATGACATTGTATATACATACTGCTTTTGCACTAAAATCAAATTTCATTTGTATAATTCTACTATAAAAATATTTCATATACGTATCAATACATGTATTGTATACAATTAATAGAGCAAAAGAATCCTTTACGACAAAGACAAATAACAGAGACTCAGTTCCCATGTTGCACTTATATCATATTTAATTTCCGAAAGACAAATACAGTACAGTTGCAATCATTTTAAATATAAAAGAAAATCTAAAAGTTTTGAGTTATTTTGTATATAAAAAGAATAATCCTCGATTAATTATAATACAAAATCAATTTTTGTTTAGGCTCCGGAGGGATTCGAACCCTCGATCTCCTGTTTACTAGACAGGCGCTTTAACCAACTAAGCCACGGCGCCGTTCGACATGTATCTTTTTTAACAGTTTAGTCACCCCAGACTTAATATTCAAAAAGATATCTGATATAAAAAACGATTTAATCTAAAATATATAGTTTAAAAAATTTGTTTACTATAAAAATAGTTCTAACGTATGAATCAATTGTTTTACACAAGCGTAAATATTTTTTATGGAAAATTTAATAATACAGTTTAATAACAATATTTCTAACAAGAATTCAATTAAAAAATTTATACACGTTATGGTTTAATTATATTTCAACGAATAGTATAAGATTAGTATACAAAATGCACACCAGAGGGAGACGTTTCTCGCTTGTGAAGATCGTGTTGACGTACCATAAATTAGCATGTAAGAAAGGGACAAGTACTCTGGTTCCCCTTCAAAATTCGCAAAAATCTTTCGCCTTTTACTAAAGATTTCCGTGGAGGGGAACACCTGATGAGTCTATAGACCAATTTTTTGTAGTACCCAGTGAATAGCTGGGTCAATGAATAAATTATAAACACAAAAGTACTGTTATAAGAGAGAGAAAAAACACTCAATCCACAATTTATATTACAGAAATAATTTGTTAATAAAAAAAGTATTAAGAGAAGAAGGAGATAATATACATTCTAGGAGTTATTATTACTGTTACTATCTAATTACCTGTACTTTAAATATTTGTGTAAAATTAATTGTCAAATAACATATCTCAAAGAATGTAATTGTTTAAATCAATGGTTATCTTTGTATTATTTATGAAGTAAAAATTTTTGACATATGAGACTAGAGACTATAATTATAAATTAACAATCTTCAATAAAAAAAAAAAAAAAGAAAATGGGCTCGTCCGGGATTTGAACCCGGGACCTCTCGCACCCTAAGCGAGAATCATACCCCTAGACCAACGAGCCACTATATATCTCAACTGATTTATTGGTATAAAGAGAGCAAATTATATTATAGTAAATTAATTACAAAAATTATTACAAATTTTTCTAAATTTTAAATATTTGTATACACAACATATATATTGTTAGCTATAGTAGAATAAATAATTTAAATCAAGCAAGAAATAATAATTTCATATAAAGAATTTATACAAATCGTTCATAAAGAGATTAATCATTGAACTATTATGTTGCTAATTTAAATATCTGCTAGAATATATTTTCATTTTCAATTTATAATTATCTAATCGTATCTATACATAATTTATGATTTATAATAAAAGTAAAGTGATATCATTGAATTCTTAATTATTATAATATATATTATATAATTCAACGATTAATTAAAATTAAATAAATTTATATACAAATATCGAGACTTTTAAATATTGTAAAATCATATGCAATATATAGTAGTCTAACATAATCTATTTTTATAATATAATCATAAAATGATTTATAAATACACATAAAACTTTAAATAATAATTAAGTTTCACTACGCTTCTTAATCAAATCAAATTTGCGCGCGCAAATTCTAGAAAGACGTGCGAATTCTTTCTTGTAACTAGTGCCATCTTTCTACCACGTTGTTCGGTCAACTTGTAGCGCGGGACGTTATTATGTTATATTGTTGAGATCATTAACCTGCATAATTCCCTTTGTTGATGTTTTGTAAGTATTTATATATTTTTATCAATCATTAAATCATTAATTTTATTACTACGTGTTTATGTACTTGTTTGTCATATGTAGTTAAATGATTTTTCCCAGCCCTTTCGTTCTTTCCCATGTAATCATTAATTTGAACGTTTGCATTATTGACAGCTGATATTACAAATCTTTCACCATTTTTCAATACTTAATTGATAATTTTTGATACACATTTGATAACATTTAATTTGGTATATGCAGACGTGTGTAAACATTTATAACCTGTAACAGGTAGGTTCTACACAGTACACTGTGAATTACATATGTGTATAATATTTGTGTTTGTAACTTGTTAAGTTACTTATTAGCTAATAATAATTAATATGTAGTAATACATAACTGATTGCATAATTAATATGGCACAATTAATAATAATTCTACTGCGTAATATAATAAAATTTTTCATATTTTAAATTAAGGTATTGACAATTTTTTATTAAGTGTATGAGTATTTTCGTTTTTCTTTAACAATATCTCATGAATTTTGTATATTTGATTTAGACTAAAGTTTTTTATTTTTTATTTCAAGTTATCTTGTGGGAAAGGTGCGATTACAGCGCCGCCACACGGTGAAATATGCTATATACTTCTTACGATTCTTGAACGCAATCGATATTTCTCACGATCGATTTTTAAACGGGAAACATGGCGGAAAAAGCACATTTCACCTGTAAAGAAGGAAGTGTTATTCAGAAAAGTCATCCAGAAAGAAGTACCATTAGAAATTCTGAGGTAAAAATTTATATTAATAGCTGTTAGATTTGTATTTGTGTTATGAATTTTTAGTATAAAACGTGCATTTTTGACTTCAACTCAAGGTAAGACTTAACCAACTATTACATGTAATTTTCACAATCAAAGAAATAATAGCATATAAACATTTAAACAGAACATACTATGCTGAGAGTTATTTATAATTTCATACTAAAATTTAACTTCAATTCAAATCAGTACAAATATTGTACCCTGTAATTGACTAGCTAAATGTTATATATATGTATTTTATTGTATGCTTTTACACGCACACTATTATAACATTTTCTATTTATTTGTTGACTCTTTGATCTCATACTGTATAATTCTTAACAATTCCAATACTGAATAATTTATTGAGAACGTACATATTTAATGGCTAAAATAATAATTCTGCTGTGTAATGTAACAAAATTTCTTATGTCTAAATAAAGTATTGACAATTTTCCAGTGTATGAATATTTTCGTTCTTTCTTAACAATGTCTCACGAATTTTGTCTATTTTATTTAGACCAGAGCTTTTTATTTTTTATTTCAAGTTATCTTGTGGGAAAGGTGCAGTTACAGCGCCGCTACACGGTGAAATATGCAATATACTTCCTACGATTCTTGAACGTAATCGATATTTCTCACGATCGATTTTTAAACGGGAAACATGGTGGAAAGGAGCACGCCTCATCTCTGAAGAAGAAAGATTTATTTTTATCCAGATGATTCATTCAGAAAGAAGTATCATCCAAAAGTTCTCAGGTAAAAATATAAATCAATAATTGTTGGATTTGTGCTTGTATTGTGAATTTTTTAAAATAAAACCTACATTTTTAGCTTCAACTCAAGGTAAGATTTAACCAAATAATTATTACGTATAATTTTCGACAATTAAATAAATAATAGCATATAAACATTTAAACAGAACATATTATGCTGAATATTATTTATAATTTTATATCAAATTTAATTTCAGTTTCAGTAGAAATACTATAATCTTGTAATTAACTAACTCATATATATATATTAAATACGTACATTCTTAATAAATTATTGTTGAATTTAGTATAAGAATTGATAATTCTTAGCAATTCTTATACTAAATTCAACAGTAGTTTATGAAGATATTTAATAGTTAAAATAATAATTTTACTGCGTAATATAATGAAATTGTTCAGCTCTCAAATAAAGTAAAGCGTAGAATGCCTTGAAGGCCTTCGAAATTCGAAAACACAACACAGTGTTTATGTTCGTCTATCATGCCTGTTCGGTCAAGTTCACCTCATCCCCTACTATTTTCTCAATTAGTAGACGAGATGTGTCGCGGAGAGTCATTCGGCTGTCGAATTTCGTGACAACAGTACATTACGTGACATTAGATTCATAACTTTTACTAACCTATCGGTGGCGTCTTTTCGATGGCGTCGTTTCTTTGACACTCTTTTACTTCCATTTATACCTTTTTACCTCATTAATCGTATCATTTAATTAATACACGTGTGTTTGTTCATTGAATATCTGGATAACGAAATCGAGTAAGATTTTGAAGCTTTTCGTGCTGATCTTTCTTCAATCATCGATTTCACTCTTACCAGTAATTTGTCTTGTACGCTTTTTCAATAGAATCTGAAGTTGATTATCGATTCATTTTTACATGTTTGCTTTCATTTGACATATTTGTTCTAACTTTTGGTTTCTTTTTGTGCAGGTTATTCCTTGGTTGCAAAGATAGCATAGAATGCATAGACGTCACGATTACTAATGAACAATCTGATGAATTTCCACGGAAAGTTGGTAACATTTTATTCATTCTAGACATTTGGTATATACAATTTATATATATTTGAAATACAATTAACAGTAATTTTGTAATTATACGATATACATACAAGGATGAAAATGGAAATGATGAAATCAATTAATATTTTGCTTCGAATATGGAGATCGTAGCTTAATAGTATATGCTTCTAAATGGATATATATTCTTATATTAGATTATTAGATTCTTGTATTAGATTATTAAATTCAAAGTTTTTATACTTTACTATACTTTGCCATAATATATTTTTTCCTGACACGCAACTGAACGATTCAGAGCAAGATTTTATAAGTATATAATTTTTTATATATTTAGTTTTGAAATTGTGATTTGTGTAAACATTTTCGAATATTTATAATACATGACAGGATATTACTAATGTGTATACTTCACTTTAATAATTAATATTCAGAATACAATTTCTACAAATATTTCTGCAAATATTATGAAATACTTTATAATTTCTAACTAATATCTTTAATACATATTCAAGTTTATAATCATTTTCTAGAAAAATAACAGTATTTTCTAAATGAACATATTCTATGCTCTTCTTCTTCTAATCAGTTTTGTTTTCAGAAAATTTTTGTGACCGCGCGCAATGCGGTCGATAGAGTCAGTGTTTGTTGCGCAATATATATTTTAATATTTTTCTGAGCAAAATTGGCTCTCATTGAATTAAATTAAATTATATAATTCGCGAAGATAGAGTCAGTGAGTCGCCGATTGTTACTTAAACTTGCGCGTTGATCTTTTATTTTCCTTTTTCGTATTTTATCTTGTTCAATATTCGTTTTCGGTATTAAAATAAGTGCTCAAGGCCTCTCCAAGAGATCAAGATCGTAAGTTTATATATTGTACTTCAGTTTATTCAATTTTTCAAATTTAACAATAAATACATATAATGTTTGACGTTCTGTTACAGACGCTTCACATCAGCATTAGCTTTTTTGAGGGAAATCCAATGGTGGCTTTATAGCCAAGAATGTAAGAATCTTTCACTATCTCCAACTTAAGATTTTGCTCTGCTTTTAAATACAAATTCTGATGTTTAATGTTTTGTTACAGATCTTCTACAGTTTGCACTTCCCCCAATCCTCCAAAAATCTTATGATGCTTCCAAAGCTAAGAATGTAAGTACTTTAGCATATTGTACCTGAAATAATTCTCTTTTCCATAGTTTTCTTTCTAAGTCGAATGTAAAATTATAACTATAAAATAAAAATACTTCAAATTATTAGTCTCAATTTTTATAATTATTAAAATTTAATTTTTCACAAA